AGAGCGAAAAAAATCGTAAGTAGCCTTCTACCTTAAAATACTTAGACAATAATGCTAAGATAAGTACAGTCTTGTCTTTTTTGTGTACAACATTTTGCCGTAGTGGATCAATGGTGTGGATGTGTTTGTCTGTAGGTGGAGAATGGCTCAGGACCCCTTCTCTAAAATGGTAAAATAGTTCAAAGATGTTATGTGAAATATCTTACCAACGTATAGTAACACAAAGTAAATCAATTGAATTTAAAACCGATAATATGAAAATGTCTGTAAAAGAGCTCAAATACACTTTTTGAATATTATAAAATTCACAAATTTCACATCAAATATATAATTGTTGTTTTCGAACCCCTTATTCAAAAGTGCTGGCTACGGGCCTGAAACAAGACAAAATGAAAGCCAGTGATGTAATCAGAAAATCATATAAAGATCAAGCAAAAACACATAAAATCACTGAACATTTACAAACTGTAAACACCAGAATGTACAACACTGACGAAACTGACTCAGAGGACTCTGATGGTGATGATCTCGTTGACAGTGAAGAGGAAATAGAGACTGATGACTTAATAGTTCCTTAAACTGTAGTGACGAGGTCAGGGAGAAGAGCTGGAACCTGGAAGCATGCAACGATTCATTAATGTAAATCTTTATTTTTAAAAAAAAAATCATGGGGGGGGGGGGCTACCATATTTTGTCTTTTTCTAAGGGGGGACAGCCCAATTTTTAATATACACCTAGGGGGAGGGCTTGTGATTATTTAACAATAACATGTGAAATTCACCGGCACCCCCTCGGCCAAATTAACTAGTGATTCCCTAAAGGCAGTGTGGTCATCGCCTTTTATATGGGTCCCATATTTCGTGTAAACATTTCGTGTACACCAACAACTTCTGTATTCAGCACGCACCGCGACAAGCTTTTTAACTATATCTGGCGTTTTTGCTTCCCTCGGCACTTGTTATTGATTGCAAATTAACACCCATCTTGACGTTAATATCTACATGCCTACAAGCCATATATATATAAAACTCCTGTTATAGCCCAACATTGATGAACTAATTCATTTGTATATACACATAAATCAAGTATGTAAAACACACACAAACAAAACATAATGAAATAAAAGAAAAATGTTTGAATAACCAGCCACGCACTAATATTGTATATATCTATATTCGTGTGGTATTAAATCATCCTCACCATAATGCATCGCGGATGACGTTATATAACACCCTTATAGCGGCCCTTGCAGACGCCCTTGCATGTTTTGGTTATTTATAATCGAAATGGGGATATGTGATGATTTTATTTTGAAACAAACGATATTTTCAATAATGTGTGTTTCATTTGCATACTATTTATAAGCAGTGATGTAATGTTTCTCTGCTGCATTTTCGAAATGATATGAAAATGTCGGTAATATGATGACAACTCATCCGAAACTAATTACACACTCAACTAAATATTTACCCAAGTTACTATGACGACAAGCGTAGTACACTTTAAATTATTAATATTAATTTTATCTGAATTGCTTTTTAATTGATTACAATTTATACAGTTACTAAACGAGTTAACTACGGATAGTGTTGAGTTGCGTTCGTTGCGACGCGTTCGTGAATGCCGTCGTCCTAAACTCACGCTGTTCAATGTACCGATTGGGTAACACTTATTTGTCATCCATCAGCAATGGGTACTACGTGCACAGTTGCAAAGGACACTTCCCGTGTTACTCCCATCGACGAACGCGCAACCGCGATTAAAGAAGGCACGCGTCCTGTTAATAATGCCGGTATGAAAAGAGGAGGAAAGACCATGGTTACGGTGGCAGAGCCGTACATTGAGTATGTACCACTACCATCTCCGATACCAGATAAAAGCACTACTACGATACACAATATCCAACGTGAATTCCACGATATAGACCAACACGCACGTAATGTAAGTACACGCACTTAAAACTGACTTAAACGTGCGTCATATCATAGTTTTTTGGTCAAATACAAACTGTGAATTACAGTTAAACTTGGCGACTAATCCATCATCGCCATTAATGTTACTTCTTTTACTTTTATGTAGAAATTATCCTTAATAACTGTGC